AAATTTTTTTTAATACCTTTTTTTAAGGCGATTGATTTAATTGGTAGAATAAATTTATACCTAATAAATTTATTAACTACCAATATATGACAAGTTAAACTTGTGAGTCGTAAAATTAGAAATTTGTATCAAGGTTCCGCACTAATAAGGACCTTGATACAAAAAACTAACCTTATAAAAAGAGATTGTAAATGTTAAAAAAAATTTTTAGAATTGTTCATGACAAAATAGAATACCACTCTACAGTTTTAAGGCCCCCCACAAATCCTGTATCAAGTTACCTCATACTTGCTAATAAAAAAAAATAACATACCTTAGCAACTTTAACAAATAATAAATTACTTTGTCATCAACAAAACTCAAAATTTGACCCCTCCCAGGCCTAATGATATCAAATGATATAATTTTTGTCAAACCAAAAGTTCTAGTAGTAACTGTTTTACCATATAAAAATGGTTGTGACAACTTTTAAGATGGCTCCACAATTACAATGTTTCATTGGTGCCCCACTCTCCCATACAAAATATTATCTTTAAAGTAAAGATTTAAAAAAAGCAGTTTGTTTTCTTAACATTTTTTGAGAATTCTGTCCATTGGTTGTTATAGCTAGCCCAATCAATCTGAAACATTCTCTATTTTTGTAAATAACTGTAAACAAGAACTCTAATTGAGATTAGCCTCAGACATTTCAGCTTTATATGCAGAATCATCTAGTAATAAACAGATTACAAAACATTATAGCATAATATTTTTCTAATAACTATTAGAAAAAGTTGAGAACCTGATGAGACTTCATCTAGTAGTCTGGTACATATAATTTTTGTATTGAGTAATCTTTATAGACCAGCAATATTAAATTTTACAATTAATATTATAGATCTTTTTTATTCAACTCATAAATTATTTTCCTCCATTTCTTTTAATAAAATAAAATTAATAACATGAAAATCCATCGCCAATATAAACTTTAGTGAAATTTTGAGATTTTCAAGAGTTTTCAAGACCAAGGCGATTTTGATACCTTTTAAATTCCCTGGAGAATACTCAAAATGAATTTCCTGTATTGATAATAACACAAATTTATCAGTATTGGAATATTTATTTCAAATATCTATTTGATTTTGCTTTTATTTCATTTTTTAACAAATCTATACATTCTTTTATTCAAAATTAGCAAATCAGATTGCATATATTGTGTTTATTCAGGTTTTCAAAATATGTATTCAGGAAACCTTGCTACCAGTCATCATTTGAACTGAGTTTTAGAGTTGTACCTTTAATTAGGAGATAGCAAAAAGCCACTACTTGACAACTTGGCCATTACCAAGGAGGCATAAGTAAAACAGTAAAAAGTGTTTAAAAAGTTTATAATTAATCATAAATAAGGTTTTCAAAATATCAAAATATCTTTTAATTTTTGAAAGTATACAATCATGAAATCTGCTTGTGTGATCACTTAAACTACAATCTGTTTTAAATATGATGTCTTATGATAGAGAAGCTTAAATAGTTATATATTGGGTGGACACGGAAAAATCAAATCAACTTTAAATTGAGATTTCTCTAAAACCATAGATACTATTTATTTCATTTTTTTTATATTAAATGTGTTTACATCAATTAGAGTTTCAACTTAATTTTAAGGGGCTTGAATGGCAAGAAGTTGAATTTTATAGCAGGTTGATGCCATCATTTTGCAGATTTTTCTTTTTTTACCTTATTGGTGGCATTAATCCACTTTTTTTGGAAGTCCTTTTTCTTTTTTGTTACTCCACCTGTCTTACAAAGAACTCCTTTAACTATTGGCTAAAAATATTTAATCTTGCACTCTTCAGGATAATTTGGAGGATTCGCATCTTTAGGAATAATTTTCGCATTATTTTCTTTGCACCACTGTGGAACTTTTTTAGAATAGTGAGAAGCAACGTAACCTAGTCAAAAGAAACATTGATATTTGTGTTTTTTTCATAAATGGCATAAGTCTTTTATGAAGGCATTCTTTGATTTAGAGATGGGCAGTCAAGGTCTTCTTAATGACATAACAAGAGAACTGCATACCACAGCTACAACTTGCTTGCCACACAAGTAACTTGGATGCAAACATTTCTTGTCGAATATATTTAAATTGATCATAGACAGGTTTATCTTTGTTCTCAAAGTAAAATTGTTGTCCATAAAGTTATGAAAAATCTGCCTTGCTATATGTTGTTGTCTTTAATTATGCACATACTTTTATCAGCCATTATTTTAACCAACTTCTTTGCGCATTGAATTCCTTTAATTTCAGTATTTAAGCTTCTCTTAGGTGTATTTTTTTTATGAAATGCTTTAATTCCAGCATTTTTAAGTACTTTTTTGATATAAGAATGTGAAGTCTTGAATTTTCTTTCTAAATCTTGATGTGACTGGTTCAGATTTCTTGCTATTGAACTGAGAATGGACTTTTAGACATTTAGGATTTATGGAAAGTTTTCTTTCTTGAACTTCCAGGTTTTCTTTCGAAGCTTTGAGTAGTCTTAAACTTATATTTATGACTGTAGATTTTGAGACATTTTTGTACCATGTCTCGAATTATCAAGTCAATGAATTTCGTTTCCAAAACATTTTGCAAATCATTGATTTGTAAACAAAAGTTGATCAACATAATTAAAGATAAGGAAGAAACATTTAATTAAAAAAAGAAAAGAAATAAAAAGCATTTGTGGTTTTAGAGAAATCTAAATTTAACGTTGACCTGATATTTCCGTGTCCACTCAATATATCTTTGTTCTTTGCTTCTAAGACTCCATATATAATATATCTAGGCTGTAACCATCATTAAGAATGATTAATTCAGCTGAGAGGTGAAGGACTCCATGCAGAGTGTGGTTGGTTTGTGCCCATGGATAATGGTAATAATATTATGAGTAGCATTTTAACATAACTCTTGAAACTTGTTGATTTTAATATTACATTAACAAGAAGCTATACGGAAATATAACACTTATTTAAAAATATATTTAAGTAACATAGTAGTACCTTTTATGGTAGTTAAGTTATTTCTTCAGAAAAAAATCGCCAGAATTGCAAGACATATCTAGTTGTATTCCAGTGTGTTTTTTTATTTTAGTAAATAAAAGAATACACTGGAAACACTTTGAACTCAACCAAAAGCCTTTATGCTCTTTTTTTATTATTTTTTAAGTTTTAAATGCTCACACACACACGCACATATATATATATATATATATATATGTGTATATATATATATATATTTATATATATATATATATATATATATATATATATATATATATATATATATATATATATATATATATATATATATATATATATATGAAATAATTTTATATATATATATTAGGGTGGATCTTTATAGATATTTATGTATATATATAGATAGATATTTATAATATATATATATATATATATATATGTGTATATATATATATATATATATATATATATATGTATATATATATAGATAGATATTTATAATATATATATATAAATATATATATATATCTTATACTGCTGAGTTAGGTGAGCATGATGATGTCATATTCACCTAATGTCAAATAGCCTGCTGCCGGGGGCTTCAGTACATACATCGACTGACAAATAGCCTGACTCGCCGTGGAGTGCTGCTACATCAACTGAGGGTTTGGTATGGGTCAGCAACCTTTTCATTCATTATTCTTCGTTTTCCCTCATCGTTTTCTAAAAACGCTCACTTAAATTAGGCTAGCAAAAAAAGTGAGCAATTACGCATATAAATATGCTATAGTAGATATGTATATATATATATATATATATATATATATATATATATATATATATATATATATATATATATATATATATATATATATATATATATATATATATATATATATATATATATATATGAAAATCGATCCACCCTAATATATATATACATTATATATATATATTAGGGTGGATCAATTTTCATAGCAAAAAAAAAAAAAATATTAAAAATCAATATTTCTGAAACACAAATCGATGTCTATTAATTATAAGATGAAAGTAAAAAAATATTTTTTGATTTTGTCGAGATCTTGAGGTTCCTCTTTGGATTCTAAATCCTTGATGGATCCTAATATTTTTGAATTTTTTTTTTCTAAACTATATGAACCTTGGAATCAAAAAAAGCAGAAAAAATGCTTGTTTTATCAATAATAATTTTATTTAAAAAAATTTTTTAGTGATATAAATATTTGCAAAAATATACCTTAAAATCCCCGTTTTTATGAAGATAGGGGTTTTTTAATGAAAAAAACAACATTATTTTTTTCTCTTTAGTTTTGAATTAAAACATTATTATATTCAAAATAAGCGTATTATTCTGCTTCTTTTGAGTACCAGGTTGATATAGTTTAGAAGAAAAAAAATTTCAACAATATTAGGACCCATCATAAGTTTAGAATCCAAAGAGGAACCTCTAAAACTCATTTAAACTAAAAAAAAAAAAAAGTAAGTTTTTTTTTTCACCAAAAGACATCGATTCGCAGCTCAGGCAAATCAAATTCAAAAATTTTTAAAATCGATCCACCCTAATATATATATATATATATATATATATATATATATATATATATATATATATATATATATATATATATATATATATATATATATATATATATATACACACACACACACACACACACACACACACACACACACACACACACACACACACACACACACATATTAAAATAGTAAAAAGATGTTTTGTTAAAGCTACAAATACATTAAAATAGTAAAGTAAAATAAAAAGATAAAAACTTGTTCTGTAGTCTCACACAAATATATCATTAAGTTAGTTATATATAGAAATATAAATCGAATTTAGAATAAATATCTTTTAAAAAAAGAACATTAATGGGTGTTTTGGCTTACATCTATATCTAGAAAAAGCTTTTGTTAAATATTAAATGTTTAAATTTTTTTTTAATTAGTTATATTTTCTTATTTAGCTTCAATATGACATTCTGTTACAACTTTACAGAAAGAAATGCGAATATATACAAAAACACTGACACTATACGTAAGTGGTTTTTATTTAAATAGTTTTAAATATTTTTAAAATCTTTTTTGTTTAAAAAAATTTTTGTAGGTAAGAGCATAATATATATATATATATATATATATATATATATATATATATATATATATATATATATATATATATATATATATATATATATATATATATATATATATATATATATACATATATATATATATATATATATATATTGTTGAATGGTTGAATAAATTGCATAGACTAAATAATCTTTGGGTGCTACATTATATTTTATGACATCATATTTTATAATTTATTACATTTTTCTTTAATATTAAAACCAATTTATATATATATATATTTTTTTGTATTAAAAATAGTATACACAAAAGCACATTTAGATCAGTAATCTGAGATCATCTGAAATAAAGATCTGGGGAGATTCACTACATGCATCAACTGAATAAGCATGAGAGTTACTGCTGGGTTTGAGGGACTGGGAATGTGGGTTCGGGTTGAGCCAGTAATTAAGCTTCTTTCACTATTCTTCGTTTTTTTTTTTTTTTTAAAACAATGATTTAGGTTGGCATTTAAATTATTCTTTTAGGGTTGTTGTTTTTTTTTTTTTTTTGGTTTTATAAAAGTGTTTTGTTAAATGTATATATTTTTTATTTACTTTTTTATTAAAGCTATTAAATACACGATTATTGCTGATGCAATACAAAGACCAAGGATCAATTTTTTTAAAAATGGAAAAAATAAAATTTCTGAAACAAGACTGACATCAAAAGACCTAAAATGCATTGCACTTAATCTTTATTTTGTTTCTAACAAGGTAAAAATATTTTTTGTGCATTGACAATTTTTAACCATAAAAGATTTATGCATACATTTTAATTTTTTTTAGTATAAAAGATTAATGATTTTATATTTATTTATTATATTTGTTTAGTTATATTTTCTGTCTTTTAGTTATATGCCTAATTTTTTGTCTTTTAGTTTATTTGTAATTAAAAATATTTGAAAAATATTTTAATTACAAATAATTTGTCTATTTTTCAAATCTTCAAAAATCTAAAACAAATCAAAAAAATATTTTATAACTTTTTTTTTTTAGTGGAAAGGATTTATAAGCAACCCTCATATAACTTGTCAAAATATTTAATTAATATTAGTTGGGCTATTTTTTTACTTTGTGAAAAAAAAATTTCTTAATTTATCTCAAGCTTTTGTTGCAAATGTTTTGGATTAAAAAATATTGTTAGGAAATTTTGTTTTCAAGATCTTAATTATATTTACTTAAAACTTGCAAACAAGTTGTTCCTGTTGTTATACATTGATTATTTAAGTTTTGTTTACCTTTTTACCCATTGTAATTGTTTTTACCCACTGCAATAAGTCAATAAAACATAAAATGGGTTTGTATTATGGCAAATTTTCACAATCAGATTTATTGCTTTTTGTTACATATGCAAGCCTGTTTCATTCATTTCATACAAACTTTCAGTTGATGCCCTGATACTGTAAAATAAAAGGAATCACTTTTTTTTAAAACAAGTTTGCTCCCAACATAACTGTAAGCCTCTAATTAAGTTGGGAAATAATAGAAACAAAGAAGTTGTTGAGCAAGAAGCTGGCGTTTGTAGAAAAAAACAATAAAATAAAAGATTTTTAAGTATGAAAGAACAGTTTCAGAAAATGAATGTTGCTTTGCTGGATGACAAGTCACATAAGTTATTTCATTAATTATCAGCAGTAAACTGATCTTTTTTTGGGTGAAAATTTACCATCCACTGCAATCACCAAGCTGTCACAGAAGCAAGATCAGATACATGATAGACTCCCTATTTTAAATGATCAAAAAGCTATGACTTATTGTTAAGAATAGAATATAAAGTTGTATCATCAGCAAGTCATCAGTGTCATCAGCAAATACTTTAGAGTTGTAACTATTATACAGACTATTAATATTGACTAGCTGTCATGACTTGTAAAATACAGGTTATGGTAAATGTATTCCACACCAAGCTAGAAAAATAATTAAATACATATATAACAATAATACTTATTGTTTACTTTTTAAAGCTATAAAATAAATTTTCTAATATATTTAACTTAAAATTTTTTTTAACATTTTGGTAGACGTTGCGCGAATTGCTATTTATCAACAAATTGGATATCAGTACCAGTCTAAATAATATCTAGAATACCCGCTTGAAATGTGTAAATTAAATACCATTGGTATATAAAGTTTCAAAAATTAAATACCATTGGTATATAAAGTTTCAAAAGTTTTAAAAAACATTAGACGATTTAAATATGTGGAATAACTGGCTTACCATGACCTGTATAATTATTACTGAATATTAATATATTACTGGTCATGGTAAGTCTATTCCACACCTACCATTTTAATTTCGCTTTATTTCAATAATTTTTAAAAAAGATCAAAATATAAAAATCTTTGTTTTGAGTTAATGATTAATTTTTAATACTTTACGACTTCTGTAAATTTTCTTAATTTTAGTATGAGTGATGAGTGAAAAAGCTCAAAAAACAATTTTATTACAAAAATATATTCCTAAACTTGTATATTTATGGAAAACATTTTGGCTATCCGACAAAAATAAAAAATGATAAAAAATCAGGAATTCCAGATATATGGAAAAAGATATTATTAACCTGTTATTAGCACTCTTGCCTTTTAATTAAAAAAAAAATTTAAAAATTAAAGTTTCCTTGTAAAATCTTTTTTCTATAAAAAAAGGAAGTTGTCTCTTTAATGCGTACACTTTATCTATTACTAAGCACATTAAAACCTTTAAAGGGATCCCAAACTCCCAACACATGTTGTGTTCATATTAAAGATAATGTTAAAATAAAAGGTTTGAACCAAATTTTTTTGATTAAAAATAAATAATGAATGCATACCGTGAAAAATAAATGTTATTGTTTTTGCCGAAGCTCGTCTTCTCCATTTTTTTCAACCACTCGGAGTCTTCAAATTATGCGTTGCAATCTACAGACTTTGGCAATTCTTTTGAAGCGCGTATAATTCATAAAAGTTTTAGTATTTGACGTCACGGTAGACTTTTAACAAAAGAAAAGTGTAATTAAACTAAGCTGCGTTTTTCTACTTTTAACATACAGCAAAACAAATTTATTTGTATTATTTTTCTAAACATCGCAAAAAACAATTTGTAAAAAGAAAAAATGATAAATTATTTTTATTTTATAGGAGCAACTTGTTTTTTACAGATATCTTAATAATTTTTCGATTTATATATCTTACTTATATTTCTTTTGTTTTTAAATTAAAACAAATATTAAAGCTTTACTTACCAATCTTATGATTTTCTTACGAGTATTTTACATTATATAGAACATTATATATATACTGTCTCTCGTTTTTGTGCAAGAGAGCGCAGTATTATATATTCTAAATCTTACATTAAACAATCAAAACTATTTTCTAACTTCTTTGGTCATTTTTACGCTATGAAGTTTTTTGTTTTTCTGTCGAAAAAAAGTAATTACAAGCAATTGTTTTCATTTAATTAGAGATATTTGATGAACTGTTAAATTTTTTTATTATAAAAGTTATTTGATTACGCTGATTAAATTTAAATTGCTGAACTTGCTAAATTGGATATGGATAAAAAAAATCATTTCAGTTTGCATTTGATTTTTGATAACGAAACTTTTGAAATGTCGGCAACTCCATACATAATTTTGTTTTTACTCAAACATATTCTACATACTATTGGAACAAATACGTTCCTAGGGCCTTTTCTGATCTTAGAATAAATTAACACAATATCGCATAATTTTAGGGGCTTTTTATTTATTGCTAAGTCGTTCTAAATAATAAGTAAATATAGTTAAAGTTATTATTTTAATAATTACAGTTGCAATATAACAAAAAAAAGATGTTTAATGTTGAACTTTTTATTTAGTTATTTATTTTTTACCTACTTTTGTTATAAAAAGACTTTAGTACCCCCGTCATTTAAATAATTTGTTTTAAATATATTTCGACGTGATTATTCAAGCTAATTTTTTTTGTTTGACTTCCCAAGCAAATTGAGACAAAATATCGTCTAACCAAATAAAAATGTTGTTACTAATTTTATACGGGTAATTAATGTAAAACATTTATTTATCAGAGTCTTATAATTGAGATAATAATTTTATATGGGTAATTAATGTAAAACATTTTTTTATCAGAGTCTTGATTGAGATAATAAATACTCATAATTTATAAACATTAAATATATGGCGCAATAACAATTTATAGCAACGAACCAGCATAAAATATTTAAGGTTTTTAATATCTTTTTAAATATTAAAAGTAGAAAAAAAAATACTAAACAAATAACCAAAAAAACTTCGACTAAAAATAAATAAAAATATTTCCAGAGTTTCTTTTGTTAAAAGTCTACCGTGACGTCAAATACTAAAACTTTTATGAATTAAACATGTTTCAAAGGAATTGCCAAAGTCTGTAGATTGCGGCGCATAATTTGAAGACTCCGAGTGGTTGAAAAAAATGGAGAAGACGAGCTTCGGCAAAAACAACAACATTTGTTTTTCACAGTATGCATTCATTATTTATTTTTAATCAAAAAAATTTGGTTCAAACCTTTTATTTTAACATTATCTTTAATATGAATGCAACATGTGTTGGGAGTTTAAGATCCCTTTAACTTTATTATGAACAAAACTTCACACATAAAATACGAATCATGACAGATTGGTTTCAAAAAATGTCTAATAGCTTTGTAAAATTAAAGATATTTTTATTTACATATTTATTAATAAATTAAGAAAAATAACAATTTTTAATATTTTTCAATTGTATGTCTATATTGTATGTCTATATTGTATGTCTATATTGTATGTCTATATTGTATGTCTATATTGTATGTCTATATTGTATGTCTATATTGTATGTCTATATTGTATGTCTATATTGTATGTCTATATTGTATGTCTATATTGTATGTCTATATTGTATGTCTATATTGAAGATTAATCATCTGAGTAATCTAAAAAAAGTAATCAAATTAAAAAAGGAAAAAAATACACTGATGTATTAACTGGAAATCAATTTATTTATACATAATAACAAAGCAAAATATAAAGAAAAATATATATTTATAAAAAAAAAATTAATAAAATTTGCATTATCAATTACCAATAGGTAGATTAACCAACTACAAAAATGCTAATTATAGATGCAGCGTATTTTTTCCCACCATTCTCTTTCCTCATACTTTCCTTTCTACAGGAACAACAGTATATTTAAAAAAAAAAGTGGGGGGCAGAGATTTTGCTCTAAATTTAAGCCCGCACCTTATGTACCTTATGAGAATGGGCCCTCTATTTGATCTGCAATAATCTGATAAAGCGTTGTAAGATATGTCTAAAATAAAAAAAAAATTAAATTAAATTAAGACATGATAAAAGAAGTAAAAACATAAAAGATTAACACTACAAACTAATTTACCTGTTGCGGATGCTTTTTCTAGAGCATTATTAAATATAGTCAAAATCTGTAAGAAAAGACATTTATTGCAAAAATGTTTAGCTATAAAAAAAAATTTGCCTGTATAAATTTACCTGTTGCTGATGCAATGAAAAAAATGCAAAATTAGATATTTCAAAATAATTGAGCAGTGTGTAAAGATAACATATTTCTATCAAGCACTTAAACTAAAGTTATAAATAAATTGATATAATCTTTTTAACTGAGTAATGTTATATATTTAAGGTAGTTCTTATTAATTAATGACAAAATATTATTAGTATTTAATCAAAAAAACAATTAAAAGTAATTAAAAATTTTTTTTACAGATAAAAACTCATTAATAAATTAATAAAGCAAATTGATAAAATTATAAGGCCTGTCTGCTCAGTAAATACTGCTAGCATTGAACAGTGAAATGTAGTCCTCCATCATAAAATCCCTTTCATTATTTTGAAATGTGCTTAATGCAAGATTTGCAATAAATAAGTAAAAACGAAACTAATAATAGAAAACCTCTATAAATAATTTGCTTGAAGTGAAGAAACTTTGAAACTTCTTGAACTATTTTAATTTTTTTATATATTTAATATTCTAGAGAATAAAAGGTCACTAATACAATGCAAAAAAATGTGTGTATGTATGTATGTATGTATGTATGTATGTATGTATTTGTCATCAAAAGCATAAATTGTTAACAAAAAAGAACAGAGTATATATCTTTTGAACAAATTTTTTTTTTTAAATTAACAAAATGCAAATTGTTAACAAAAAAGGAACAAAGAATATATCTTTTCAACAAATTTTATATAAAAAGTAACAGTATATAAATATTTAATAAAGTAAATATCCTTTCAATAGAATTTATATAAAATTATAAATATTAAAAAAAAATTATAGGTATTAAAAAACTATATCTTTTCAACATTTCTTTTAAACGCATTCAACAATATTTTTTTAACAAATTTTATGATTTTACTAACTACAAACAGATTTAGTTTATGTTTTTTATTACGATAATATACCCCGTTACTGGCAGGAACAACATTCTTGCTCTCAACAAAGTCAAGTCACATTAAAGCAAAGTACACCATTTGGCTAGCAAGTTCAACTCTCTTGCTGTAAACTAAGCTAAGTCACAACAACTTGAAACCATGCTAACAATATAATAAACACTTGCAAACTAAACACATAATATTATAACACATCACAAACATAGAAACATTTCATATATAAAAGATATTTACACACTTACAAAATATAAACCCATATAACCTCAACACATAATAAATAACACACAAATATAAATAAATATATAAATTCAGAAAAAAATATATATATTATAAACTTTACAAATACAACCTTATTTTTGTAACATTTGTTGACATACCTTATTTAACAGCTTGAAGAAGAAAAAAACAATCTAACAAAACCTGGTTTTTTATATTATAACAGCAAATAGATTTTTTTTAACTTCATTAAAATAAGGTATTAAACAATCTTGTTCTTAACATGTAACATAGAGTTGATAAAAGTTTGACTTCTTGACCTTTGAAAAAAGCAACGTCTTCTAGAGTCATCATTTTCTTCTAATTTAAAAAATAAAAAATACAAATTAATATACTTTAAATACAATTGACAAAGGACTTAAATTGTGTTATTATTATAATGCATGAATTAAATAAATTAGCTGACTTTGAAAGTTACTATACTAATTTAAAATTATCATAAGGTTTATTCTTTACTACAGAAATCGTCATGTTAAAAAATTGCTGATCTTATTACTAATTAAGCTGGTGAAGCAAAGTTTTCGATCTTATTACTGATTAAGCTGGTGAAGCAAAGTTTTCGATCTTATTACTGACTAAGCTGGTGAAGCAAAGTATTCGATCTTATTACTGATTAAGCTGGTGAAGCAAAGTATTTGATCTTATTACTGATTAAGCTGGTGAAGCAAAGTTTTTGATCTTATTACTGGTTAAGCTGGTGAAGCAAAGTATTTGATCTTATTACTGATTAAGCTGGTGAAGCAAAGTTTTTGATCTTATTACTGGTTAAGCTGGTGAAGCAAAGTATTTGATCTTATTACTGATTAAGCAGATATTAACAGATTATTAAGATTTAAGAGTCACTTATTGCGTGGTCAAAAATATGTAAAGAGAAATATTAAAAGGCAAAGCATGCTTATAAAACTCGATGTAAATGCGGATGAATGGGTAACAGCAGTATTAAGTTAATCAATAATGTATAGTGATGAAGAAAATCACTGAACCTGAAATGGCGCCTTGTGGTATTCTAAAAGTTACTGAAAATAAAAAAGAATGTTGTCCATTAATAACAACTTTTATACTGCGGTTAGAATAATTTTATTATTTGAAAACCTCCTCAGATACACAATATGATATGAGTTTTTAGAGAAAACCAGTACGCAGATTTTATTGAAAGCTTTTGATGTGTCATAAAAATCCAGCTTAAAGGTCGTAGTAAAAAGTGAAATGGTAGAGTAAATTTAATAAAGAAGAAGTCTGATATTATAATATTTTTAGTGAGACTATATCATTATCTGAACCACCTGTCAGAGTTTAGGATTGTCAGGAAAACAAGTCACAAAGTTAGCTATTGTAGTAAGAGCTTGAGAAATTTTGAGCTTTAGAACCAGTAAGGTCAGTGATAATAGACCTAAGTTATTTAGTGTGATGAGCATTAAAGTTACCAATAACAACATTATTGGAATGGATTGGTCAATATAATTAGAACCAACATTGAAAAGTCTTGAGTTGAAGGAGGGTAAATAACAAAAAAAAAGGTACTTGAGTGAAAAAATCTTAAACAAAAGCACATGAAAGATGTTTTAATTCCATATATTTAAGTACTTTATTCATGTTTTAATTTAGTAGAAAATATTAATCAATTATAAATAGTGAATGACACTTTAGGCAATAAACTATCCAGTTGCTTCAGTCTTACTAATCCACCCAAAGTTGTAACAAATGCCCTTTATCTGGCTTGACAAAACACATTAAAAACACTAATAGGAAAATTGTCCATGCGCAGCATGGCGCAGTTAATACTCTGATATTTTGCAGTTAAATTACTGCCACATTCTATTTTTATTATAATTTGTTATATATTTTATTCTACATCTACATTTGTTTTAGATTATTTAAAAATATATTTGTTTTCATTTCTACAGGATGGTGTAATTCAAATTTATCCTGATATTACCTTTGAAGTGATGTACTCTATTCCTTACGGAGAAAATGAGTTTCCTAAGCCTGATGCAAGCAATAAAGATGTTGTAAGTTTAGACAAGTACCCTCGACTTGATGAAAATTTCTTAGATGGGAAAAATGTCAATGTAAATATTAAAAAACTAAAGGTAAGTTTGTTTGTTTTAAATCTAACACACACATAAACGTAGTTATAGGTGTGTTAATTTTAACTCTGCATGATTTTCAACATAACTCTCCCAAATATTTAACTGAATATTTATTTGCATCTCAGATTTTTCATAGGATGTAGTAATTGAGTTGGTAAGCAGTTTATTGTATCGGTCTTTAGATAATTTATATAAATTTGATGTTTGATTGGCATGTGTAAATGTTTTGTCTGACTTTTTTATTCTTGCATTTCATATTCTTTTTACATCGTTAATTAGTTTGAACTTTTTATTTTACAAAAATTTAAAGATTTAATAAGGTTGAGTAAATCATTTTATTTGTTTCATTTTCATTACGTGATGGTTTTTATAAATGTAAAAATGATATTGAATTATCTAAAGAAATATAGATGTTAAAAGTAAACCCGATAATTGAATGGAAAATTGTAAAATGTTGTAGATCTTACAATCCTGTAACAAAACGATGCAACCTATATCTTATAAAAAGTATGCCATAATATCTTACACCAATGATTAATTATTAAATAAGAGGAATGAATTAGTAAATGTATCTAAATGTAGAATGAATTAGCATCTAAATGAAGTAAATTTTTCTATTAAATTTCAACACTGCTGATTAGGTAATGTTAAAAGGAACTAGATTGAAATTGTCATTTTTACATGGTTCATTTGTTTATTAATAGTGGGTTTTTCCCACTCTATGTATATGCTTTCTTTGAGTTTTAATATAAATTTGTTGGAGGCCGAATCCAAAATTAAAAAACTAGCATGAGTAAAACTATTAAAATTTTCATTTGAATAAATATGTTTATATTTTATTTGAATGAATATGATTTAACCAAGCAAAGACTAAATGCAATTATTAAAAGATATTGTTTAAAAATGTTATATATTTTAGATATAACCCACTATTAATAAACAAATGAACCTTGTAAAATGACAATTTCAATCTAGTTCCTTTTAACATTACCGGTTCTTTTATGTTTTTTAAAACTTTGTTACATTTTTTAATTATTTACTTAACTTTAATAATTTGATTTAATTAAATTACTTCAATTTTAATAATTTGATTTAAGTATTTTAATATATTTTAACTGATGATGGCTATGATATAGTTGAAACATGTATTTATAAAAGAAATGATTTTAACGAAAATCAAAAAAATTGTCTTATTTATTAGAATATTTACACATTTTGTGCTGAAGAGAAACTTTGGAAATGTGTGTGTGTGTGTGTGTGTGTGTGTGTGTGTGTGTGTGTGTGTGTGTGTGTGTGTGTAAATATGTATATATGTATAGTTAACCTCAGTTAAAATTTTAGAAAAATATATCTGTTGAAAAATAAATTTATAATACAGTATATAATTGTAAAATTATAATAAATTATGAAACATAACATTAATTTCAAGTGTTCAATAAATATATACACTATAAAATTAATAATAAAATAATAATTCAATAATAATAAATACACTAAAAGAATAATTTAATTTTTTTTTTTTTTTTTATCAATTTCAATAAATAAATACACTATAAAATTAATTTTTTTTTTTTTTTTATCAATTTCTGACATAACTAAAGAACTGGTTAAGTTCTTTATGAACTAAATGACTTAAATTATGCCCTAAATAGATTTTTTTTTTGTCAAGTTTAAAGTCTGATTTGTAAAGCAGAATCCAAAAACGCTCATCATTATAATCAGTGAAGCAACTTTTTCTTTTGAGTGAAGATGCTTATAATTTTAAGAGTTTTTATCTCTTCTATAGTGTTCATCAGTTTTTGTCTGTAAATTACAAATGGTTTTGGCTATATAACAAGGATTACATCCTGCACAAACAACTATTTGTAGACAACTAATGATTTGAAATCTAAAAGAAGATCTTTAAAATTAAACAAGTTAAAGACTTTCACTGAAGTGAACACCAATCTTACAGTAACTGATTTACAATATCTCCTAATAATTGCGGGTAATTTTTGTTTCGTTAGCTCAGAAATTTTTAAATTTAAAGTTTAAAAAAACAAGTTTGTTAGCGCTTTTTTTTTTTTTTTTCTGGCATTTAAGAATTTTAAAAATTTTTTTGATATCATAACAAATCTAAAGATTATTAATGTTTATTTTTAAATTTATTTTAATCAAATATTTTTAACTGATACTTTTGAATAAAATTTTAACTGAGGATGTCTAAGTAGTCAAAACATATCTTGTAATTATAAAATTGTATTCTTACACACACTCGTGTGTGTATTAGTATGTATATGCCAGTTAGTTTAAGTTTATGATACATTAATATACATTGACACTGGAAAATATGAATGTATGGATGTAAAACCTGTTTTTACCTATTTTTAGCTTGCTTTTCAACGAGAATGTTCTGATTGCATTCCAGATTTGTCTCTCTCTGCTCAAAAACTTCAGTAATTTCAAAAGATTTTTTTTTTAACTATTTTGGTATTTACTATTAAAACTTATTATTTAAGTTAGTTCAACTTTTACAAGTTAATTGTAAAACATTGTTAAAATAGTTATTTTCATGTTGAATTTTTATTTCTTCTTTAAATTTTTTTGTAACATATAACAACATTTGAGAATGTGTTTTTTAATTTAGAACATATCGATTGGGAAGAAAAACTCTTGTCATCAATGTAACTGTTGAAAACAAAGGACAAGATCCAGCTTTTGATGTTGAAATTAGATTTAGATTTCCTAAAGATATTTCACTTGACAGTATGATCATCACTAATGCAAGTGTTTTTGTTTTTGTTTTTTTGTATTTATATTGTTTTACATTTTGTTTTATACTTCATTAAACATTTTATCTATCGAAAAATATAATCAAAAAAACTCCAATCATATCACAGCTTGTTACTCCGCACTTAACATTTATTTCTCTGCGCAGCAGCCTTGTTCACATTTCAGAATTGAAGAGTTAATAAAGAGTTGCAACCACACAAAAAATTTAATTTAAAAAAAAGTATTCTTCTTTACTGTAGTGCTTCTTCAACCTTGAGGAGGTGAATAAGGTCTCCATAATATTATAATTTAGCGTTGGATTGAAAGATAATCTACATAGCTCTGAGAAGATTTTCCTTTAAAATATCAAAATCATCTTTTACCATATATGATGCAGCATCACATATAAATAGAAAATAGTTTTACTCAAAAACATCAGTTGTAATAATAGGTAATTTGTAATGTTTTAAAAATGGTGCAAAGAGTGGTTTCTGATGGAAGATTTTGCTCCATATACTTGTGTATGAAATCTAAATGTTTATAAAAAATATTTTTTTTTACAAATTTTATATAACAGTATATTAGTGGGCACCCAAGTCACAAACAACAAAAGTTATAAGCAAATTGTGAATATTTTACAGAACTGCTTTACTTCCTAATTAGTTTCTGTGTAAAGTTGCTACAGGTTTAAAATCATTTTTTTCAAAAATATCAATATGTTTTTTACTTTTTACATGTTTAACCATAAACATTTTCTCAGCTGAAACAAGTTTATCACACATTTATCAAAATAAAATCTTTCTATCAGTCAAATTTCTCATCTTGCTATTAAAGTGCTACAAAAAACCAAATAGTTTTATGAAACTATTCAGACTGCAAAAAACTGATAAAACATTACACTGCTACAAATGCTACACAATGCCACAGTTACATGTTATGATAGGCTCTAAATATCAATGCATATTTAAATACTTATCCATGATGATAAGTAATGAAATATACAAACAAAAGTTCTTATATAAATTCATCTAGTCAGCTGTATGTTTGTGACTTGTAATAGTATCAGTTATAGTTATTGAAAATGAATAGTTCTTGAATGAAGTTATCAATTTAAAATAATTCAATAATTTAATTAGCATAATAACCATTAAACTTATATTTTACAAAATTAAAAAAATTAATAATCTGGCCATTTGGGCAAAAACTCTTGTCAAAGTACCCAAGCCTTTGGACATGGTTTTAGTATTTTTTATACAACAGTTGATTCAATTTTTTTGGTTAGTGGAGATTTTTAAACAATTATCTGCAAACACTATTTTTTTTTTTATTTCAGTTTTAAATTTGCGTCGGAATCAGAAGTATAATATTCTGCATTGATACTGTTGCCTAAAAAAAAATTTAACTTGTCATCAATGATCGCAATTTTTTTTCCAAAAAAGTGCTTTTTTTTTTTTTTTTGCAGTCGCACTATTTCCAACCTTTGGTTCTGGTCTTATATTATTTTCATTTGTTTGCAGTATATTCTGCATGGTCAATTTTGGGACCTTTGCCATGTGAACGTGAAAGTGATATGTATTAAACATTTTGTTCTCTTTTGCATGGAAATTCAAAAAAGTGTATACTTGTTTTAGGAGTGCCTTTCAATTATTTGAGCTTTTAGACATGTTAATTTCTGAAAAAATATAAACCATAGCATGTTGTAGAACATAATAGGTAGATTTAAAAATTATAAAACATGGTTTACTATAGGTTAAACATGGTTAAATGTATATTACTCTCACATTAAAACATGGTTAAATGTATATTAAAGCTTTATCCAGATTTTTAGTTTTCATCTGTTAATATGAGCCTATGTTAATATGAGTATTCAAGTTTATAAGTTTTGAGTTCAAATTATATGAATTTACAATACAGAAGTTATGGATTTATTATTTTTAAAAGTAAAACAAAAACCTAAAAGTATTTTTTATATTTTATATTTAGGTAATAAAGTATTGTCAAAACAACATTTGTGAAGTTACAAATAAGCTTGGTAAACAGGCAAAGGTAAGTTTATGTTAACATTTGCATACTCTGAATAGGTAAGTAAACATATAAATTTTTATGTTAAAGATATTCTATTAATTAATGTAAGTTGTGCATAGAAAAATTGTTTTTTCAGCTAGTTGTTGGAGTAGTATTAAACATGAACAGCTTTGGTCCATCAAGTGAGAATAATGTTCAGATGAGCATTAATAGGTATGTATATAATAGTTTTATTAAAAGTTACAATTTAATACTATTATACATATTAAATACCAGATGAGTTTTTCTTTTATCAGTTTTTTTTTAATAAGTTTACTATTTAGCAGGGAAAGTGATTACAAAGTAAAATTTTCAGAGAATTAAAATTTTAAAAGGTCACAAAAAAAGTTTAAAAAAGAAATTTAGTATTGTTGCAGTAGGAATTCAAAAACACCAGAGTGATTTTATTATTGCAGTTTCCATAGGCTTTCACTTTTTTTAGCTTTATCAAGCACTAAAATCTTTTAAAATACCTTTTTTTTTTTTTTTAATTAACTTTATAATTTTAAACGAAGTTTTTAAAATGAAAATATTTTGATATAAAATGTTTTAATAACAGTTTATTTGAAAAAAAAGAAAAATGTTTCAAAACTACTTTTACTCCCTCTTTATAAATCAAAAATCAAGAAAGTTTGTAGTTATTTACTTTAATAGTTTTTTTGGTAAAAATCCTATAAATTATATAAATAATAAAATAATAGATTTTATTAAATGAGTTTATTTCATTATCAAATAAAAATTAGGTTATTTGGCAAAGAGAAGTTACACTAGATTTTTATTTTATGACATTTTTATGTTGCCACAAAGTATCAGTTTAAAAGTTTTTTAACTTTTATTGCATCAATTGCGTTTTACAGAACAATGACTTTACCAATATAAATTAGGGTGGTTTTGAAAACAAAAGAAAGTTAAAAATATAGAAAAGCCCTAAAATAATAAATATAATAAAATAAAATTGAATAAAAAATAACAATAATATAAAAACGTAAAAAATGTTCAAAATGTAGGAAAAAAGTTTTAAAAAAATTCTCGTAAAAATGCACTTTTTTTAATTTTATTTTTAAAACTTAATATTTTATGCAAAAAAATTGAAAAAGTTTTTTTTAATGTTTATCATTTTTGACCTCTAAAAAGGTTTTTAATTGAAAATGTTTTTTAATACAAAATATAAAAGTTATATTTCATTATATTGGACACATGAAGGGGCACCAGCATGTGTCCAATATAATGAAATAACACTTTTATATTTTGTATTAAAAAACATTTTTAATACAAAATATAAAAGTGGTTTCTAAAGATATTCTCACTTGATGAACCAAAGCTGTTCATGTTTAATACTATTCTAACAACTAGCTGAAAAAACAAGGATTTTTTTTTTTAAATGTTATTTTTAATGTTTTAAATGTTTTTTTTTTTAAATGTTATTTTTAATGTTTTAAATTTTTTTTTTTAAATGTTATTTTAAATGTATTATATTATGTTATACAATTGATAATTTTTTTTTTTTTTTACAGTGATTACTTTTTTTTTTATATATCTCTGCAAATTTGAGTCCGGCAGTCTATTTTTATTTTTATATTCTTATTATTTTTTTAACTGTTGTTACAGCCTTCTCTCAACATTATAGCTTCACAACATAGACCTTTACAAAAAAACTTCACAACATAGACCTTTACAAAAAAAGCCACTGCCAAGAGAAACAAGTTGAATTTAGTTCTACTAGGGGATCAAACTTAAGGGTTCTTGCTTATAAAGCAATCGGTCTACTTTTATTTTTAATTATAAAAATAGAAGTAAAGCTATATTATATAATAATAGGAGATGTTATATAATCAAATTGTATGTAATGTTATTATTGCATTTTTGTATGAATATAGATGTTTAAATGCAAAATCATTTTTTCCAGTTAATTATGTTTTTGACACTCCATAATGAAATCAAACTTAATGTGTAGTTTATAAAATGGTTTAAAGTTATTTTGTAAAACTAGCCAATCTTTTTCAAATTTATTTTTATAGAAAAATCGAGTTTTTTTAATTATAAATATGTATTAATTATATATGAAGACCACACCAGTAAAACCACAGATGTCCACTTTTTGAAAATTTTATTTTTGTTCAAAATTTAAAGACTTACTAAAGCTAAACATTTTCTGAATGGACAAAATAAGACATTATTTGATCTTATTTGATCTTTTTTTTTTTAATTTATTTTATTTTTCTTTGAAATTAAAAACAAAACATTTTTATTAATGTTGTGTTCACAATTGGTTTTTCTATGGTTTATACAAACTTTATATAAAGTGAAGGAACACAGACATCATGGAATCATCTGTGGTAAATAGATAAGGTTGGGGAAGAGATAAGGTTGCAATGCTATTTTGTATAAAGTTAAAAACTTTCATATAATATTTTGTTTGAATTTTTTTAATTAAAAGAGGGGGGGAAGGATGGCTTTATTATCCCATCACACATTTAGTAAATTGTAGTTGTATATTACAATGTGTTACCATCTACCTTTAAAAAAATAAGTGCTCTTAAAGGTTAGAAGCTAACGTTATTTATGAGTTGATGAGTTTACAACGGAAAAATCACAGATGTCCAAAATGAGTGTCTTGTTTTTAAAAGAACACTGTGAATAAATAATACTTATTTAGCACAAAAACTGCGTTTTTATATTGTATATAAGTACTAAAATGTCAGAAAAATATACTTTTAATTAAATAAATTAATAATAAACAGATATCTAATGTCACTAAACACTAAATTTCATTTTTCTCAAAATGAGAAAAATGTGACATCTGTGGTTTGACCCATGTGGTCTACATATCTAAGATTATTATTTTAAACAATATTTTTATTTTCTGTATTTTTATATTTTTAGTGCAAATCTTGAAAAAAATGCAACACTTGGTGACAATTCAATTAACATTCAGATTGATGTGAAGGTGGAAGCAGATGTTGAAATTATGGGGTAAGTTGAATATGTGGTATATTATACATAATATACATAATCCTCAGTTAAAGTATGAACTTTTTTTTTTTTTTTTTTTTTTAGTTATCACCATTAATAATTATTTTTTCATTATTATTGATTGCTTGATGCTTTTATTACTAGGGGGGGGGGGGTAGAAAGTTCAATTATGCTTGTAAATGTTTTTTTTATATACTATCTAATATTTTAAAGAAACGATGCATAAAATAGATTATTTTAAAATGATTTTAAAAGAAAATGTGATAAAATTGTATTTAATGCTACCAATCTGTAATGCATAGTGGGATATCAACTCAACAAGTTACGTATGGAGGGAAAATTTTGGGAGAAAGTGCTATGAAAAGTGTGAATGATATTGGTGATTCTGTCGAACATAAATATGTTGTAAGTGCTTGACTATTTTACTTGATTAACTATGATGGTGATATTATGAATATTATTTGATACTCTTTTATAATCATAAAAATATTTAAGTTTAATACTGTTTAAAATCAGTTTTTTAATTTTTTGTTTCTTTTTTAATCTTAGATTCACAATAATGGACCTGATACTGTTCCAAATGTTAATGTAACAATTTTTTGGCCCACTGAACTTAAATCAGGGAAACATCTTTTGTATCTTACAGATGTTAAACCGGTGTGAAAGTTAAAAAAAATTTTTTAAAAAAGTCATTTTTTTTTAAATGTTATTTTTAAAAAGTTATAATAGCATAAAAATAATTTTTCTTAGTTACTTTTTTTTTTTTGCTTGTATAACTAGTTTTTAACATTCTTTTTAGTCAACTACTACTGTCCAATGTATTACACCTTCCTTGAATCTACTTCATCTACTGGTAAAATGTTTTTAACTTAACCTTTTTAAGTTAATACTTTTAAAAAAATATTTAATTGTATTTGTTTGCCTAATTATATATATATATATATATATATATATATATATATATATATATATATATATATATATATATATATATATATATATATATATATCAACCCTCAAAATTAGGGTTGGCATTTGGCAATGCCAACCTAAAAGTGTTTGAGGTCGGCAAAAAAATGCTGACCTCATTTCTATGTTTAATGGTAAGACCTCTCATTTCCTGCTGCTAAGCCTGTTAAATGAACTTTACTTAATTTTCCTCCAGCACATTGTTCACCTTTTAGATGAAGGTTTTCATTGGAGGCTGTTGATAAAAAAAACCAAACTCAACAGTGTTGTAAATACCCCTCCTTGAGACAATTGTAGGCAAACGGGTATGCTCCAAGCTTGCTGATATTTCCTTTATGCTCAACCTTTCCTTGCCAGAAATAGTTAGAAAAATAACATGTCTATTTTTCCACCAATCTAGCCACCCTCTTAAGCTTTAAAATTTATTCTCCTTAATGAGGTGCCCACCTTAATGAGGTGCCCACCAATTGATACATGAAAAGTCACTGCTTTTTTAGAGAAACAGTATAGTCACTGTTTTTGTTGTATGTTTAATATAATTTTTATATATACTTAAATTGTATACACTTAAACATTCTGTATATGTTTTATAAAGGGTGCAAAATCGGTTCTTGTTGAAGACCAAGGAAAGAGTGATGCAGGAGTAAGTAATTTTTAATGCTTAACCAATAATTATGAAAATTAACTTCTTTGCAATAAAAATCTTTGTTGGTTTGTAAAGTATTGTATATATTATTCATTTTAAGTACATAATTTGTCAATGTATTTTATATATTTTATAGGCAAGTTTTAAACCTCGTAAAATTCGTGATCTGAGTGATGCTATTACCAGTAATGTAAATGTTACAGTAGAAAAAGATACCAGAAAGAAAGATGGCACAATACTAGTAATTATTTTGTCACAGTAGTAATATTATTGAAAAAAAGAGTTAGCTCATTAAGTTTAAATTTTTCATTTAGAATTGTACAACTGCTAAATGTCTACCAATAAGATGTACTATTGAAAAATTTGCAGCATCTCAAACTGTAGCTATAACTATTTATTCCAAGTTATGGAAATCATCTTTGCTTATTGTAAGTCATCTTTGCCTATTGTAAGCTTTTTTAGGATTATATATATATATATATATATATATATATATATATATATATATATATATATATATATATATATATATATATATATATATATATATATATATATATATATATATATTGCTTTTGTGTTTGTTAAAAGCATAAAATATTTTTTCAACAATATAGTAAGTATGCTGTTCTGCTCTTCATCATGGGTAATAGAGGAAATCACCACTTTCTGTTATTGCTGCAGAAAATTATTAGTATTTTCACTTTCAAGCACACTTTTGCTTGCAATTTCATTTGCAACTTCCTCGACCTCGTCGTACTTAGTACTATTACTGTTACCACTAGATTTATGAAACCTTTAAAAAATTTTCTACTGCTAAAGCAATGACAGCAAATTTTGAATCATAATCAAAATATTTAGTTGCTTAGTTACCTGTTTCTAAGAAGATTATTAATTTTTGCTTAATGTTATGCTTTAATAGGTTTTTACTTAAACTTGTTTTTAACAGATCTTTCAAATGTTGATTTATAAACACCTTCAGGTTCAAAAGTCTGACAGAATTTTTACTAAACTCCTTTATTGTGGTTTCTATCTCTATTTTCTCCTCTGAAATCTTTTGTTGCCCTTTTTTAATTAAAGTTTTATTTAACATATCCTTGTAAAATGTTGTTTTTGACTGTAGAGGATGATATAATTTCTATAATTATTTTTAGGTTTTTTATAACTTCTTAAAAATCTTCGATGAGATCTATAATTTTGATTTTTTTTCTAGTTTGCGTATAATGTTTGTAATCTTTAAATTATTTGTATTCAACTCATTGCTATTGTTGTTACACATTGTGATTGCATTTTGTAACTTAAAGTTTACAAAGTGTAACAAAAGGTTATTTCAAAAAATAGAAAATAATAAACTAACTTTTAACAAAACAAAAATAAATTTTTACTTTGGGTTAATGAAATAAAAGTATTTAAAAGTTTATTATTTTAAATGACAATAATACTAAACTTTCCACCTTATGATTATCATTTAATGACTTGTTTATCATTTATGTTTACAAACACTTTTAGGTTCAAAAGTAGAAATATAAGTGTAATAACCAAGAGTTTAAATTTATGATTATTTGTAAAAAAAATATTATAAAGACTTTCCTAATAAAGTTATTAATTTAAAAAAATTTGTAATTTTAAATTTTTTAGAAAATTTTTTAAATAGTCACAATCATGGTTTTTATTTGTAATTGTAAATATTATAATGAAAAATAAAAAATATATATTATTATAATTAAAATTTTATAAAATAAATAAAAATAACTTAACTCCTCAAATATCAAAGTTAAACCAAAAAGAGAATTTAGTTGTATATAAAACATCAGGTTTTGGTTGTCAAATTTTTTGAAAATTATTTAATAAATATGTATTACCATCTTTTGTTTATTACTTTTAACATTCAAGTTTCTAAATTTCAAAATGTCCAATAAGGTTGCAGATTCTAATTTTCAAAATATCTAGTAGGGTTGCAGCACCACTATTATTTTACCTATGTTATTTATTGTTGTGTATTAAATTTTTATAATAAATATAAAATTACTTTGAATTATTTTTTGATTTATTTATTTTAAATACGATGGTTTATTTTTATTATTGTTATTTTTAATTTGATTGGTAAATATAGTAAAAGTATACTTAATAATAATAAATATAATTTGATTTGCATAAAATAAAAATTAGTAATATAAAATTTCTCGATTATTAAATTATTGAAAAAAAGTAAAATGGAAATTAATAATTTTTTTTTTTTTTTTTTTACCATAAAAATTTGTATAATTATATTTTTATTTAAATATATTTAAATAATACATTAATTTTTTAAATTCTTAAATATTAGATATTTTATATAATTTTATCTTGTTTTTATTAGTTTAATATTATCGTAATGAAGTTAGTGATGTTTATAATTTATTCTTAAGAAGTTTATTTTTTATACAAAAAACATTTAATTAAATAAAACTTTTATTAGTTGTTATTTTTTGTATTTATTTGTTGTTTTTTAAAAGATTTTCAATAAATTTTACCTTTTTTAAGGATTATTATGGTGAAGTTCTAACTGTAGTTTCTTCTGCTGAAGTTAGTGTAGGTGCCAACACATCATATCTTGCTGATCCAAACAATAATAACAATGCTATTGAGGTAATTATCAACTCAGGTTTCATGAATATTTTGTTAGTTTGTTAAACTTGCTATAAAAGTTTTGTCTGGAAAAACCTTTTCTTATGTATAGATATTTACTAACATCCAACCAGTTTTTGCACCTGTATCTAAAGAAAAGATTGCAACTTGGATGATTGCACTTGCTGCTATTGCTGGTATTATACTACTTGCCCTGCTTGTTTTCGGATTTTGGAAGGTACTTTTTTTTTATTGTGAGAATTTGATCAAAAATAAATGAAAAATAAGTAATTATAAATAAAATATAACTATAGATAAAAAGCTTTAATCATTTTTGCAGTCGTATTTTAAAATCATATTATGAAATACTAATACTAACATAGTGCTAGCATTATGATTCAAGAGTCTAGGTACTAGCATATATTACCATGACTCAAGAGTCTAGAATAAAGTTGGATTTCTTAAGCGTTTTAATTTTTATATAAATTTAAAAAAAAAAGATTGTAAAAAAAACTTTTGTAGACTTAAACAGCTATTATTATTCAACTAGTTTAAAATCCATTTATCAAGTTTAGATTTGAAACGTTTATTGAGGTACCATTAGGTAAAGAATTAGCAACTGAGGTAGCAACAACAGCAGTAGATAGTTGATTGGAATAAAAAGTTTTTTTTTCTTAAAAAAAATAATGTTGTTTTAAAGATTTTATTTGATTAGCTCTTGCCTAATTGATAACTTCTCAGCAAAACTTCCTTGATCAATTATACTTTTTTAATTCTAATGAATATCTTATATATATGAATTAAATTTTATCGAACTGTTTGACAATCAAAATAGTCTTATCAAATCTTCATAATATTAGCTAATGATATTTAACAAGATGCTGTACTTTTCTAAAATAGTAGTTTTAATTTTGAAATGGAGACCACACAGACAAAGCAAATTCAATTAATGTTCTAACAATAAAGTTGTGTATTTTTAAGTATTTCACTCAATTTTTTACACAAAGTTATTTATTTTTCCATAGTCAAAATACCATACTCTTTTTAAAAGTAAGTTTTTCGGTAAATTTTTTTTGTATTGTTTTTGCTAAAGTTTTTACTTCCCCAAGATTGAGTTCCCTAGTTTTTTTAAATTTTTTTTGCTATAACATCATCTCAAACCTTTGGTTACAAAACACAAGCATCATCTCAAACCTTTGGTTACAAAATACAAGCATCATCTCAAAGCTTTGGCTACAAAATACAAGCAACATCTCAAACCTTTGGCAGCAAAATACAATCATCATCTCAAACCCTTGGCTAAGAAACTTACGTATAATCTTAAACCTTTGGCTACAAAACACAACCTGTGACCAATTTAGATCATTGCACAAAGGAGCAAGTTGGTCACGATTCTACCAAAGAAATGATGGAGGATCGAATTCAGAACTTCTTTTTTACAAAATAAGCTGACTCTACATTGTTACTGTAGTATTTGCAGCAAGTTTAGATTTTAGTTTTTCTTTTTATTAATAATTAAAAATCATTCCCTTTGTTTCAGTAAAATAAAATATACACATTTTTTAGATCACTGGTTGTTGTTTTTGTTTCGTACATTTTCAAGTAAAATTGGACCCAGTGTTTTCTTCTTTTTTAATTTTTATTTGTTTTTGATATGAATGAATATTTGATATATATTATATATTTATTTATATGAAACTCATAAAGAGTTTGTGCTTTAAATTTATTTTTAGCTTGGGTTTTTCAAACGAAAACGAACTGACAGTAAATACGCGTCCAAATCAGATGACAAAGCAGATAAATCGCTTCTCAGTAACAAACGATAAGCTTTGTGCAATGTGTAACAGTTTTTTGTTTGCTGCATGTTTGGTTTTTAAGAGCTTAAAATAGTTATATTTCAACTAATAAGTTGTGATAGTTGCGAATTTAAATTTTTTTTGTGTGAGTGGTATGCAGAACGTTATATTCGCAAATATACACACACATTCATACATTTATACATGTATATACATGCATACATATATACATATGTATATGTATATACGTACATAAATATATACCTTTATGTATATACATATAAATATGTACATATATTTATAAATTTATACGTGTATAAATGTATACACGCGCGCGCGTTCACATGCTTCAATGGAACCCTAAATATTTTATGTGAAATTTTTAATCCGAAGATCTTCTTTTTTTAACGCATTTTAATCAAAAAAAAAACTATTTTTTATTTATCAAAAGTTATTCATTTCCTTTTTTTTTTTTTTTTAAGTTTAGCAAGAGATATTATTTTATACATTTTTTATCGTTAGCAATTATTTATCAGTCTTTTTTGTTTATTGTGTTTTTGTTTTTTTTTGTTTTTTAGCTTTACGAGCTTTTTTTTTATTTTGTATTTATTTTTAAACTCTTGTGTTTTTTTCAATATGGTTCAAAATTAGAATTATTACAAGCTCCTTTTAATGGATATTTTATAGCCGATGATGCATTGATGTTATTGTTGCTTTTATATTTAAATTTTATGTATATGTTTATTTGATTATTTTTGTAAGAAAAATCATTGGTTCCTTTAAAGTTTTTATTTTTATTTTGAATTGCTAGGGAACCTGGTGCTGATTATTTTAAAATTCATAATCGAAAGGTGAGTTTCAACTCATCCGTTTTTTCACGGGAACGGTAAAGGGACGTTTTTTCACGGGAACGGGAAAAATAATAACGTGGGCATGCGTATAATAACTTTTAATATGTCTGAAGAAAAACTACGCATGCTCACGTGATTATTTATCCCGTTCCAAACCCGTTCCCGTGAAAAAACGGATGAGTGGAAACTCACCTTAAGATCATTCCTACTTTTTCCCGATATCATGTTGATAAAAAATATCACAGTTAAATCCCGGCATGAAACGTTTAGCACAATCATGTCCATGTTTATGTTATAAAATTTAAGTGTACAAAATCACACAGGAAGTAATATATAAAACGTCAATTTTAATTCTGAAAATCACTTTTTTGGAGAGCAATCAATACATAATTATCCATGTGAAAAACGCAAAGATTCCAAGTTTGTTCCAGCAATTTTCAGTAAATTTCTTAGGTTAACTAGACTTAAGAAATTCACTGAAAATTGCTGGAACAAACTTGGAATCTTTTAACATAGCAAAAACAAACCAAACAAGGAGTTGCAGGCGTTTCAAATCAAAAGATAGGTTGGTAGAAATCAAAAGAATTTCCGAGAATAAAAGTGTCTTCTTTGCATATTATATAAAAATATTGGTTTCAATCATGTGGAAAAAGACATTTTTTATGTAAAGTTGTGTTCAGTTGCATTACTCTAATAGGTTCGAGTTTCTGAGCAGCATTATGTATGTTTCAATTTATATTCATGTATGTTCCAATTTATTAATTCCAATTTATAATCAAGTTGTGGCAGATTCAGCGGTTCCTTAGTTCAATAGATAAAGTAGTTTATATGTTTAACTTATATATAGTAAACTTATAGCCCAAAAATTCCATCAAAAAATTTCACACATGAAATGTCACTTTACAGCAGAAGCATTATAAAATTAGTGCAGTTGCAACTTTTTTGAAAAGTACAATTTCAAACCTTGTATAATAAATTGAGTGCACATTTTTTTTGAGGGGATATATTAAATATATCTTTTTTCCTTAATATATTTATACTTATTATTAGCAATACTATTATTCGAATGCCGTGCGTTTTCGACAATTATTGACTTATCTCCATTTTCCTTTAGCACGCAGAATTTATGATTATCGTTTAACAATTATTTTAATGATTATTGTAATTAAAAGTACTGGAGAGTTAAACTTTGTACATATAAATAAGATTTTGAGTTAGAGAAATGACGATAAAAAAACTCTCAAATATCGTTTTAAATATATATATGCAAAGCTGCAATAACACAAGTCTACAAAAAATTTATTGCATTAAATTTGACATTTGTTCTTACATAATTTTGATACGCTGAATTCAAATCTGGCATTCATTTTTTATGGAAAGCTACAGGTTTTTTGCAATTTATATTTTTTTAATTTTGCAAAACAGTAGAAATAGTTCTAAAATACAGATTTGAAACTCATTTGGAAATGCTAGGATATACTTTTTAGAATAAAAGTTGTTTACAAAACTAAAACAAAAACAGAAAGCAAATGAAACTAAATGTAAACTGATTAAAATAAATATTTTTCAAATATCCAAGTCCTAGCAAAGTTATTAACTTTTTATTGATTAATAAAAAAATCTTTTACTTTAGTGAAAGATCAAAATCTTTTATACTTTCGTTTTAAAAAAGATTGCAGATTATATTGCTTATTTACAACTACTTAATCAGGAAGAAACTTTTGCTTGTTGCTTTTTCGTTTATAATTTTTCCTGTGTCTTTTCGCTTGATGCCCCAGCAGTAGTCTGCCATTATGTGTATGTCCCAACGTCCTTGGTAACGATCTTCGATTGTCTTAGGATCTTGATGGAAACGCTCTCCTTGCTCTTCACTCACATCTCCAAGATTTTCAGGAAACTGGAACTATTTATATAATGAAGCTTTGCATCCAAGATCGCAAAAGGCTTTCAACATTTTATCAACTAAATATGCATAGTTTTCTGCTTTTTTATTTCCAAGAAAATTTTTTATAACAATCTAATAATATGTATCTTATCATCTAAATGTGGAGCCGTTTATCAACACTGGTTTCAATAATGGGCAAAAAAAGTTATAAAAAAAACGGCACTCGTGAAAACGGCACAAATAATTTGATGAGAAGAAAAAAAAAAAAAAAGTTTAGTGTGTTGAGGTTGAGTGTTGAGTTTGGTTGATAATTTTAAAAGTAGTGAATTGATTGATTACAAATTATTAACTTTATATGTGCTCTTATTTTTTAAATGGCCATCTCATATGCATTTTAAATCTGGTGTGCACGCGTGCGCTATTACAAGCCGACTCCTCAAAATTTACTTAAGGGAAAGTCATATTAAGACAAATTTATCAAATAAAATTTTTTTTTTGATTAACAAAATTAATTAAAAAAAAACAAAACAGTTAAAATAACAAAAGTAACAAAAAATCTAATATGAATAAATTTTTTCAACGTGTTTTTCCACTTTAATCGCCGGCTATAAAAAATCAATAAAAATATAAAGCGGTGATAACAGATTTAAAATTACATTAAAGAATTCAAAACCAACACGATCAAGAACAAAAGAGATAAAAAGTCCTTTAAATAGTTCAAAATAATATACATACATATTAATCGGTTTTTATACTTCGACTGGAGCGTCTGCTATAAATAATAGTTTGTTTAAAAATTTCAGTTGTACGATAAATTAGAAAATAATTTGTTAAATATAAAAAGTAGTTAAAGATAAAGCTAACTTGGTGCAGCAGTTGTGTGGCGGTGTAGCTTTTTTGAATGTCTGCGTTCTATAAATGGAACAATCCAAATAATTATTTATCCAGTGAGAAAACACAAATATTTAGAAATGAATTTCTATAACATTTACTTATTAAATTGACTCTTAATTTTAAAACATAATTTTTTTTCAGATGTTATACTGCAATTAAACGAGACGAACAAACTTATTTCCTATACATTTTTGAAAACAGTATGAAAAAATAAACGTTTCCTAAGAAAAAATAATAATAAAAAGACTTCTAACATAAAAAAAAAACAAAAACGAACATAAAAATTTACCAATTAACTAAAAAAAAGCAACTAAAAAAACAAAAACAAAAAAACAACACTCGTCATAAAATCAGTTTTTTATTATTATTGAATCTTCTTTACATCCGATTTTTGATCTTTCTAAAACTTAAAACTGCACAAAGTTTCACTTTTTTATTTTCCTAATGACTCGCATACTTCGAAAAACAGACCGATATTTGTTTTACCATGCTTTTCTATGTTACTCAAATGTCGATATGTAATATATGTAACATTGATTATTAACGGTAAGCACATATGATGTACAACAAGTAACCAGAGGCGATTATAGGAATAAAATGATTTAGGTGAAAGAGGGACGAATAATTAAAAAGTACCAACTGCTTTCTAAATAAAATAATAAAAGTTCATAAGACTAAAACCACCCATCTCAAATGTGTCAAATACCCGACTAAATTCCTCAAAAAACCAACTAGGATCCACTCCACTCCCTCTTGGAATCGCCTCTACAAGCAATTTAGATTTAAAAAAGTTATTTAACTTAGCTAGCAAACTCATGTCTTTAATATATGTATTACAGTATATTAACGGTAAGCACATATGAAGTACAACAAGCAACCAGAGACGATTATAGGGATAAAATGAATGATTAGGAGGAGGGGAGCGAATCCTTAAAATGTACCGACTGTACGGACTAAGTACCGACTGCTTTCTAAATAAAAAAAAAAACAAAAGTTCTCATGACTAAAACCACCCGTCACCCGTCACTAAAAACACCGTCTAAAGTGCGTCAAACACCCGACTATATTCCTCAAAAAACCAATTATGATCAACTATGATATACCCCTTCCCCTCTTTTATCCCCCTCTCCCCATTGATTGTAGAATTGCCTCTACAAGCAATTTAGATTTAAAAAAGTCATTTAACTGAGTTAGTAAAGTTCAACTGAGTAAGTAAAGTACTAGTTAGACTGTTTGATTTTGTTTAAAGTCTTTGACACCGTTAACCTTGTCATTTTTCTTGAGAAGCTTGAACATTTTGGAGTTCAATAGATATTTATCAAGCAGAAAGCTGAATATACAATATAAAACAGTTATAGCCACAAACGGAAACTCGTTTGCAGATGACACCGATCTGTTTTTTCTTCTCATAGGGGTATCAAAACGCTCATCAAAGTAGTTAATGAAAACTTAAACAAAGTAAAGGAATGGTGAAAAAAAACATGTAATAGACATTTGCTGAACTTTAAAAAACTATTTTTTCACTATTTCGTTAGCTAAATAAAGCAGAAAGTATTCCGCTAAAACTACGTGATTTTAAAGTAAATAAAAAAATATTTGTAGACTACATAGATGTTATTTTAGACGAGTATTTATAATAGAGATATCATATAAACAGTCTTGATAGAAAGCTCTCAATAAATATTGCTGTGATATATAATGCGAAACTGTTCTTAAATATTATGGCTTTAAA